GACTCTGTCTCAAAAAAGAAAAAAAAAACTATTTTGTCTACACTGAACAATTTGTTGTTGATTGTAGCCAGTCATCAGTGATTTTAGCTAAATCTTCTGGGTAACTTGCTGCAGATGCTTTTTTTTTTTTGAGACGGAGTTTCACTGTTGTTTTTTTTGAACCTCCGCCTCCTGGGTTCAAGCAATTCTCCTGCCTCAGCCTCCCGAGTAGCTGGGACTACAGGCGCGCACCACCATGCCCAGCTAATTTTTGTATTTTTAGTAGAGATGGGGTTTCACCTTGTTGACCAGGATGATCTCAATCTCTTGACATCGTGAGCCACCCGCCTCAGCCTCCCAAAGTGCTGGGATTACAGGCGTGAGCCACCGCGCCTGGCTTTTTTTTTTTTTTTTTTTTTAACTTTTCTTATTAAAACACTTTTACAGCCAGGCACAGTGGCTCACGCCGGTAATCCCAACGCTCTGGAAGGCTGAGGCGGACAGATCACAAGGTCAAGAGATTGAGACAATCCTGGCCAACATAGTGAAATCCCGTCTCTACTAAAAATACAAATATTAGCTGGGCATGGTGGCGCACACGTGTAGTCCCAGCTACTCGGGAGGCTGAGGCAGGAGAATAGCTTTAACCTGGGAGGCGGAGATTGCAGTGAGTCGAGATCATGCCACTGCACTCCAGCCTGGCTACAGAGCGAGACTCCATTTCAAAAAAATTGCGATTTTTTAGGCCAGACACGGTGTACCATGCCTGTAATCCCAGCAATTTGAGAGGTTGAGGTGGGAGGTTTGCTTGAGCCCAGGATTTTCAGACCAGCTTAGGCAACATGGTGAAACTCCATCTTTATGAAAAAAAAACACAAAAAATAGCTGGGCATGGTGGTGTGTGCCTGTAATCCCAGCTACTAAGGAGGCTGAGGTGGGAGGATTGCTTTAGCCCAGGAGGTCGAGGCTGGGGGCTGCATGAATGGGGACCATTTCTGGCTCTGTTTGCTGGATAATACAGGTTATTGTCAGGGCGGTGAGTGCTTTAATGGAGGTAGAAAGCCTGTAGTGGGGGCCCAGAATAAGGACTGGGGGAGTCTGGCTGAAAAATGGAGGTGACCTTTAAGCTATCTTTATACATTCATCCATTTGTTCAACAAATGTCTGTTGAGGGCCCACCAAGTGCTAAAGGCTAAAGGTTGAAGAGATGATGTTTACATTCATTTCCATTAAGTGACATTGAATTGAAGTGTCACTAAGGCAATAAGGGAAGAAAAAGAAATAAGAACCAGTCTGGGCACAGCTGCTCATGCCTGTAATCCCAGGACTTTGAGAGTCTGAGGTGGGAGGAGCGCTTCAGCCCAGGAGTTTGAGACCAGCCTGGACAACATGGCAAGACCCCATCTCTCCAAAACAACAACAACAAAAATTAGCCAGGCATGATGGTGCGTGCCTGTGGTACCAGCTGCTACTCTAGAGGCTTCAGGTGGGAGAAAGAGACTGCAGTGAGCTGCTGTGCAATGGTACCACTGCATTCCAGCCTGGGCAACAGTGTGAAACCCTGTCTCAAAAAAAAAAAAAAAAGAACCAGGCTGAGTGTGATGGCTCACACCTGTAATCCCAGCACTTTGGGAGGCCGAGGTGGGTGGATCATCTGAGGTCAGGAGTTCGAGACCAGCATGGCCAAGATGGTGAAACTCTATCACTACTAAAAATACAAAAATTAGCTGGGCATGGTGGCAGGCGCCTATAACCCCAGCTACTCGGGAGGCTGAGGCAAAGAATTGCTTGAACCCGGGAGGTGGAGATTGCAGTGAGTCAAGATCGCGCCACTGCACTCCAATCTAGGCGACAGAGCTATACTCCAACTCAAAAAAACAAAAGGAAAGAACCAAAGTAGGGGACAAACCAGCTAGCACACAGTAGAACTGTTAGGAACACTATATTATTGGGTTCTCAATAATAACCTGGCATTGAACAGATTATTAAAAGCCTATTATGTTTCATATTCTGTTCTGGACACTCGGGAGATAGTAATGAATAATACCATATTCTTATTAATATAATAATTAGGTCAGGGATGGTGGCTCAGGCCTTTACTCCCAGCACTTTGGGAGGTCGAGGTGGGTGGATCACAAGGTCAGGAGTTTGAGACCAGCCTGGCCAACATGATGAAACCCCATCTCTCTTAAAAATACAAAAATTAGCTGGGTGCAGTGGCATGTGCCTGTAATCCCAGCTACTGGGGAGGCTGAAGCAGGAGAATTGCTTGAACCTGGGAGGCGGAGGTTGCAGTGAGCCAAGATCATCCCACTGCATTCCAGCCTGGGCAACAGAGCAATACTCCATTTCTGAAAAAAACAAAAAAATCAAACAAGTTTTCATGCCCCCCTGCAGCTAATATTCCAGTGTGAGGAGACACAAACCACCATACCCAGCTAATTTTTGTATTGTTTTAATAGAGATGGGGTTTCACTATGTTGGCCAGGCTGGTCTTAAACTCCTGACCTCAGGTCATCCACCCGCCTCTGCCTCCCAAAGTTCTGGAATTACAGGTGTGAGCCACCTCGCCCAGCCACAATAAATGTAATCAATAAATTGCATAGTGCGGTATGAGGGAGGAAGATTGGGAAAGGGGAACCAGAAGTCCCGGGAGGTTGCATTATAATTGTAAATGGGGAGGGGTAAGAGAAAGAAATGCCTGAAAGGATGAGATATAAACAAAGACCTAAAAGACGTAAGGGACCTGCGGATTTTTTTTTTTTTTTTAAGACAGAGTCTCCCTCTGTAGTCCAGGATGGAGTGCAGTGGCCAGATCTTGGCTCCCTGCAACCTCCACCTCCCAGGCTCAAGTAGTTCTCCTGCCTAACCCTCCTGAGTAGCTGGAATTACAAGTGCCCGCCACCATGCCCATCTAATTGTATTTTTAGTAGAGGTGGGGTTTCACCATTTTGGCCAGGCTGGTCTCAAACTCCTGACCTGAAGTGATCCACCTGCCTTGGCTTCCGAAAGTGCTGGGATCACAGGCCTGAGTCACTGCGCCTGGCCAACCTGCGGATATTTGGGGGAAGATTTCCAGGTGGAGAGAATTGGAAGCGCAAAGGGCCTGAGGCACCAGCATGCTTTGTGTCCAGAAACAGCTAGATGAGTGTGGCCGGAGCTGAGGGCAGGAAGGTGACTGGGCATATCCGGCAGGGCAGTGTGGGCCACGTGAGGACTTTGACTTTTCCTCTGAGTGAGGTAAGAACCATTGAGGGCTCTGGGCAGAGGAAGGTCATGATCTGAATCGAGTTCTAACAGGCTCCCACAGGGTCAGATGTTAGCATTTATTAAACATTTACTGAGTGCCAGGCACTATTCTGTTCAATATGGTTTGATCTCATTTCATTCTCACATGAACCCTATAGGGAATATCATTTCATTTCACAGAAGAGAAACTGAGGCTCAGAGAGTTTAAGACACTGACCCATGGCCACACGGCAATAATCTTCAGCGCCTGGGTGCCAAGGTAAAGTAAGCCAGCCTTTCCCTCCCCCAAGCTTTTCAGACAAGGATCGGTGGCTGCAGAGCGCACCCGTCTTCGGGAACGGCGTCTGTGTCCCTGTCTGTCTGTTTCTATTTCCACACGTTCCTGTCTGTCTCCACGCGCCTCTGCCTGTGCGTCCCCCATCTGTGCCCAAGCCGCCGTCTCTCTGCGCCCGGCCCACGCACATCGGAGCTATTTCGGGTTTAAGGCTTAAAAGCCCAACAGCTCGGAGGAGACGCTTCCTCCGGCCCCCGGCTCGGACCACGCGCCGCACGCGGCCAGCTCTGGGAGCTCCCAGTTTTTTCTGCGGGATCCCCGAGCCGGGGAAGCCCCCGCGGGAGGAAGGGTGGGGGCTGGGGCGACCCGGGCCCAGAGGCTCCCGGCCCCCCAGTGGCCAACCCGAGCATTGACACCAGGAGTCCAGCCGTGCGTCAGCTGTCGTCCTGGCAACGGGCGGGCGACGTCACCCATTGGTGGTGCGCCAGCCACCCGCTGACGTCATGCCCCAGGAGAGGCAATAGGCAAGGGGCGGGGGCGAGTTCTAGGCCCGGCCAGCAGGGGGAGCCCTGGGGCATTGATGGCAGATCCGTTTGGATTGGTCCTGCAGGAGGCCCTGGCCCTGCCGACATGGCCCCTGCATCCCCAACGGCGCGGTAGGTTGGCGAGATGAAGAGGAGTCGCAGTGCCCTGTCAGTGACCGGGTCCGGGGACGAGGTGCGAGGGGAGGGGCTTGGGCTGGGGGCGGGGCTTCTCTCCCCTGGGAGACTATCGCCCTCTAGTGACTATGGCTATTTCCTGAACGTGGCTTCACTACTTCCAAGCTGCAAGGAATTTGGTCCCCTTGTGCCTCAGTTTACCCCCTTGATGCCATTTTTCTCCTGCTGCCCAGATTAAGAGGCTCTCAGCCGGCTCAGGGAAAAATGAAGAGAGGATTTGGCGAGGAGATGGGAGGGGGCCATTGACATTAAGACCAAGAGGGGGCCTCTTAGACGTGGAGGGTAGGAAGAGACCCTAAAAAGGTGATGTGTTTGCGAGGTCTCACACGTGAGACAGAATGTAAAGATGTGACAGACCCAAAGGCTGGGGCATCGAGGCGGGACCCCACCAATATTATGGCTGAGAAGGGGCAGCCATAAGGGATGGTTAGGGAACCCTCTGTGGGAGGGGTCAGCGAGTGGTTCACACAAGAAGGGCGCCTATACCCCCATTAGCTACTCCCTTAGATAGGTAGGGGTGTTCTTGGGGAGAGGGGCTTACAGCTTCCGAGCCAGGCCACGCCCCCATTCCACTTTGTCCCTCCCCAGAGACCGAGGGACACCCCCGAACCCGGCTGTGCCAGTATGCTGGGGGCCGACCTGCGTCGCCCTCGCCGCCGCCTCTCGTCCGGTCCTGGTTTGGGCTGGGCCCAGCCTGAGCCCTCGGACCCTGGGGTCCCTCTGCCGCCGCGGCCCACCGCGCTGCCGCTGCTGATCCCACCGCGGATTTCCGTCACCAGGGCGGAGAACGACAGGTAGGTAGGAGAGGGGGCAGAGTGAGAGGTGGGCTGGGGAGTCACCGTGCCAACTGGGCTAGGTCCAGCCACCAGCGCTTCCCGATCTCCATGCTCCTGCGGTTTGCATAACTAGCTGAAACTTGTCCTGTGACGGGCTGTGACACCCCTCCCCCAAGGCACCCTTTGCAGGCTCTAGGAACCCCTTCTTTCATTGTCCAGCTGCTTGAGTCAGCAAGGTGCAGGACTGAGGAAAGAGGTGTCATGTCTCCAACCCCCAGGATGCCCCCATGTTCACAGAGCTGGGGCAAGTTGATCAGGCGGCTCTTCACCCGCCTTCGTGTCCCCTGCTGGGAGCATCAGGTTTCTTCCCCGCCTTGAGGGGGATGGTGGGGTCTTCGAAGGGGTCTGAATTGGCATTTTTCTTTCTCCTGGGGAGATGTGAGAAATATCTGTGAGCTCTGGGTTCACACAGCATCTCTTGCTGATCTTCATCTGGGGACCTACTAGGTACCCAACCAGTTTCCCAGGGTGATCAACCCCCCTGTTGGCTCAAGAATGAGCAGTGAAGTCAGACAGCTGAGCTGGTCCTGGCTTCTGGCCGGCCCCTGCACCCTGCCCCCATGCCCTCTGGTCTCTGCTCTCTACAGTTCCAATCCACCCCCACCCCCATCTACTCAATTGGAGGATTCTAGGGTCTCTGTTTCCGTCATGGTCCCCTGGTTCATTTCCAGATAGGGAGAGCAAGTGACTGTCACTCGCCCCTTGCGATGCTTAATTATACCTGCCCCTGCCCATCCCAGGAGCCTCAGGTCCAGTCGGTTTATCCCCTGCTCACCCCACTGCTCCTCGTTTCCTCTTTCTTCTACAACCCCAGCTGTGGCCTGACACCCCCACCCACCTCACATTACTCACCCACACCCGCTTCCAGATCTTTAACCAACGTTACAGCACCCCTCCCCCCCCAGAATTTGGCCTAGCCCAGGACTTTCAAATATGATCCGGGGAGAACTCGTAGCCCCTGAAAATTCCCTAGAAGCCGTTTTGAGTGTGTACTGAGGGGGGTGTTCCTGAGAGAAGTGGGGGACACAGTGCTGGCCCCTGGGATACCCTGCGGCTGCTGAGGGGACCGGTTTTTGCTCGGCGTTCGCCCACGCCGGGAGCCCCCTCTGGCAGGGAGGAAAGTGGCTGTGGGGGTTGAAAAGACGGGCAGTCTTCTTTTTTTTTTTTTAAATAAGGCGAAGGGCGAGGGGGGAGGGCTGTGGCAGACAGCATCGCCTGCCCTGGGGAGCCTGTGAGAGGGGGTGCACTGGGGCGGGGCCTGGTCCCTGGGTCGCGCAGTAGAGCTGTTTCGCGTTTAAGCTCTTATGGGCGTGGTGGGGGCGGGACAAGGGGGTGCGTGCACTCCCCCCGCCCAGCAGCCAGCCTTGGAGGGGGTTGAGGGGGATGGGGGCGCACTCGGATCCCGCTCGCTCTCTGCTCGCTCGCTCGGTGCGGCGCTGGGGGAGGCGGGAGCGTGAGTCACGGCGACTCCCGATTTAGGTGCCGGAAGGGGGGCTCTGCCGGCGGGGGCCGCCGGGAGGAGGCTCGCCTGTTTACTCTCCCGAAAAGGGCACCGGGGTGCGCCCCGCGGCTACCCGGGACCTTCCTCAGTTTACCTCCCGCAGAAGTGCTTTAGAAGAGGCAGCGATGTATAGAGAGGTGGGCAGGCAGCCGGGGTATCCGCCACAGGGTGTCCTCCTGGAACCACAAGGGAACCAATGGGACACACCCCAGAAACACCCCAAAGAGGCCCCAGGCTGACCACACACACACGCACACACACTAAGATACATAGACACCTTCGGACACTACAGTCAGACGACAGAGGCAGAAAGAATCGCGTGCACAACTCCGCAAGCACGCACAGACCACAAATGCATCCAAGCGCTTGAGAACACGTTCACAGTCCCCAGGCCACCTGAAAAAAGACCCCGTAGGGATGCACATCATCCAAATAGGTAGCACATGTGCCCACACATCCTTCACCCACAGACACACACAGATATACACACAGCCAAATCCAGAGAAACGGGCAGACAACAGCAGCCAACCACGTGCGCACACACACTTCCAGCAGACACTGAAAACACAGACAACCCTCGGAAGAGGCCACGTGCGCGCACATCCCGCCCGGCGCCCGCACCATCACTATCCTCCGACGCACAGACAGGAGATCCCACACACTCTGCCGCCGCCCGCTGCAGGCACCGCGCCGGTGGCACTGGGACCACTCCCGAAAAGCTCCCCCAGGCCAGGGGTAGCGGCGAGGACACGCCAGCACCGGACTCCGCCCTCGCCATGATGGACCGACTGACTGACACTCTGGCAACCAGTCCGGTGTCTTCTTCCAGAGCGGATTAACCGTTTAACTCCTTCGTGCCCGTGCGCGCCGCGGCCAAGTAGGGTGCTTAGGAGAGGGCCGAGTTCCAGTGCCCCCTCCCCGCCCGGAGCGGAGCTCTGCGTGGGAGGGGAGTGCCCCCCTCCTTAGGTGGCTGCCCCCCACTGGCCCGGACGGAGGAGGAGGGGGGCGGCGCTGACAGCCTCGGCGGGCGGAGGCCGGGGAGGGGCGGGACGGGGCGGGGGAGCCGGGGCTGGCGCCGAGCGGGAGCGGAGCGCGGAGAGCGCCGCCCGGCACGGAGCAGAGCTCCAAGCGCTGAGAGGAAGCCGCAGAGCCCGACCCGGGGGCGATTGGCCCGCAGCGCCCCCGGGTCTGTCCCCGGGGCGCCATGGCCCTACTGCGGCCGGGCGCACCCGCGGGGCCCTGGGCTTGTTTGCTTGCCCGCAGCTGAGCGGGGTGTAGGTTGGAAAGGCCGGGCCCCCTGGGGCGCAAGTGGGAGCCGGCGCCATGGAGCCCCCGACCGTCCCCTCAGAAAGAAGCCTGTCTCTGTCACTGCCCGGGCCCCGGGAGGGCCAGGCCACCCTGAAGCCTCCCCCCCAGCACCTGTGGCGGCAGCCTCGGACCCCCATCCGTATCCAGCAGCGTGGCTACTCCGACAGCGCGGAGCGCGCCGAGCCAGAGCGGCCGCCGCACCGGCCCATAGAGCGCGCCGATGCCATGGACACCAGCGACCGGCCCGGCCTGCGCACGACCCGCATGTCCTGGCCCTCGTCTTTCCATGGCACTGGCACCGGCAGCGGTGGCGCGGGCGGAGGCAGCAGCAGGCGGTAAGACACCCCGCGGCGGTTGCGCGGGGAGCGGTTAGGCGCGCAGGGAGGAGGCAACTCGAGCCGCCGGCCGCAGGGGGCGCTAGGATGCGGGTGGGGTCGGTGTGACTGGCGGGGGCGGAAGAGGGAGTTCAGCTGCGGGGGCATCCGGGCCCTGGCCCCAGGTTGTGCGCGCTACGGGAAGCTTCCTGCTGAAGCCCATCTTGGGGTCCATTTAGGGGGCACCATGCTGCGCGTGGTGTTAACGAAGTCTGGGTTGGGGAAGGGGGCTGCAGCTTTAGGGGTCCGTATTCTTGGTGACAATGCAGGACAGCGGCTAATCTGGGAACCACTTGGAGGGACCTTCCTGGGGGCACTATGCTGCGGGCTAGATTCGCAATGTTGGGTACCCTTGGGGCACTCGGTAAGGGGGTGCCTGCTGGGACCAGGATCTTGAGTTTAGGCTGGGCTGCTCTCAGGGTCCTTCTAGAGGGTGGAGGACTCTATTGCAGGGTGTTAGCGGACTCTTCCTGCAGCAGCTGGGGTCAGAAATCCAGAGGGTGCCTCTTGGGGGAGCACTGCTTTGGGAGACTTCTGTTAGGTTGGAGTTCCCCTCTCAGGGCAGGAGTGTTAGGGTTCAGTAGCTGCTCGGAGGCAGGAAACAGTGGAGGGAGGCACAGTCCCAGCACACAGGGAAGGAGTCCCGGACTGCAGAGGTGACAGTACAGTGAGGGTGTGCATGTTGAGCCTAGTCTCTTCTAAGGGTCTCCTCCGACAGTCCTGCGTTTGCTCCAGCGGTCTTGGTATGACCAGCTGTGGCTGCCTTAGTTGTGTGTTCTGTATGAATTTCTGCGGTCTCGTGATGGTGACACAGTGACTACATGCCCTCCAGGGACAGTGTAATTGTGACAGTGTGACAGGGCAGTGTGACTGTGTGCTTCTGGGACAGTGTTTGTGACCGTGACTCTGTGTGCTCCAGGAATGCTGTGACTGTCACAGGGTGACTATGGGGCCTCGTGGGATGCAGCGACTGGGACAGTGACTGTGTCTGCTCCTAGGACCGTGATTGTGCAATGGTGTCAGTGCTCTAGGGACAATGTGATTGTGTCAGTGTGCATTTCTGACATGCAGTGATTGTGGCACTAGGATGTCTACACTCAGGGAACACTGTGATTGAGTCGGTGGAACAGTCTGTGCTCCCTGGACATCGTGATTGAAACACTGGCTGTGCGTTCCTCCTCGCCAGGTGCTCACGTCTGAGAGTCAGTGCTCTGACATGTGGTCTGTGGTTCCCTGTGTCTGGTGTATCCTAAGAACTGGTGTCCTCCAACCACCTGGCGTTCTTAGTTACTGCTTCCACTCTGATGTGCTCCAGGGTCTGATGGTGTGTGCTCTAGTGATGTGTGCAACTGACAGCTTTGCCTGTGTGCTCTACCTGATGCCCATGGATGCCCCACTGCTGGGGATATCACCAAGACGATCAGATTCGGGCTTCTTATCCCTGGAGCTTCTGAGTGAGGCCCCTCTAAGATATAGCCCTAGTCTTCCTAAGTCTCTCTAGGGGTCTTCAGCAGTCATTGAAGCCCTCCAGGCCACCCTACCTCTGTTCTGGTCACCCCCAGCGCCAGGACCCTGCACCCTCGTCCCTACCAGAAAGCAAGTATCTTGGGCCCAGCACACATGGGCTGATATTTCCCAAAGGGAACTGGAGAGAGGCTGAAGGAAGAGAAAGCTGGAATTAACAGAAAATGCTAAAACCAGGGGCAGGGAGCCAAACTGGCATAGGTCACTGTCCTAAGACACCAAGAGGCCGGGCACGATGGCTCATGCCTGTAATCTCAGCATTTTGGGAGGCCGAGGTGGGCAGATCACCTGAAGTCAGGAGTTCGAGACCAGCCTGATCAACATGGAGAAACCCTGTCTCTACTAAAAATACAAAATTAGCCAAGTGTGGTGCTGCATGCCTGTAATCCCAGCTACTCGGGAGGCTGAGGCAGGAGAATGAACCTGGGAGGCAGAGGTTGCAGTGAGCTGAGATCACATCATTGCACTTCAGCCTGGGCAACGAGAGCAAAACTCCATCCCATTGAAAAAAAAAAAAAAAAAAGACACCAAGGGACAGGTGAAATGCAGTAGGATCCGGGCCTCATTCCTATGCCAGTCTCCAGGGACTCCTCCTCTGCTAGTCTCTGGGCGCTGAGTCTTAGGGGATGTGACTGAGTGGTAATAATCATTATTATTTTAGTGGTGTCCATTTTGCAATGGTTCACCCACTGGCTCCATGCCAGGGACTTTTCCATGCATCCTCATTCCCAGTGCCCTGGGTATTGCAGCAGGGTATTCCTGCTGGCACATGGGGAAACTGAGGCCCAGAGACAAAAACCTTTCTCTTCCCTACCCAAGCTCACACAGCCAGGAGATAGCGGAGCTGGAATTGCAACGCAGGTCCGCTTGATTCCTGTGCATCTTTTTTTTTCTGAGACAGTTTCACTCTTGTTGCCCAGGCTGGAGTGCAATGGCGTGACCTCAGCTCACTGCAACCTCTGCCTCCTGGGTTCAAGCGAATCTCCTGCCTGAGCCTCCCAAGTAGCTAGGATTACAGGCATGCACCAACACAACTGGCTAATTTTGTATTTTTAGTAGAGATGGGGTTTCACCATGTTAGTTAGGCTGGTCTCAAACTACTAACCTCAGGTGATCCACCCGCCTCGGCCTCCCAAAGTGCTAAGATTACAGGTGTGAGCCACTGCGCCCAGCTTCCTGTGCATCTTTGTATAAGTCTCTTGCCCTCCCTGAGCCTCAATTTTCCAGTTTGTAGAGTGGGGCTGTTGTTGGCACTGCCGTGTGGGGGTCATTTTGAGGGTTCTGTGAGCTTGGGGATGTGTGTAAAGGCCTAAACATAAGTAGATCTCCACTCAGGGACCTGGACTGAGGCAGAGGGGCTGGGTAGACCCCATTTCCCCAGGGTGACAAGGACAAACAGGAACCTTAACCACATCCCCACAGAGACTCGGGTTTCTGTTTCACTGTGTGTCTGCGCAACCTTCAGTGTCTGTGCTGAGGTCCGTAGCTGAGACTGGTGGGTGGGCTGCGCTGGCATTGGTTCCAGGGTCCTCCTCCACCCTCAGAGAGAAGGAGGAAGGTCTCTGATGGCAACCTCAACGCTCAGAATGGGCATTTCTTCCGAAAGGGGGTTTTACCAGGGCACACACAGGATTTGGTGCTCCCCACATTGGTGTCCATCCAGTACCACAAAAGGAGTCCAGCCAGCTCCCCCATCTGGGTCAAAGGAATCCCCAGAGAGAGGGCACTGCCCCCCCACTATCTGAGATGTCATCCAAACCTCCCTTCCAGACCTGAGGATGTATGAGACGGCTGAGTCACGGCACAGCCACGATCTGTCAAGAGGCAGATGGAGAGGGAGGAAGAGGAGGACTTTGGTGGTGGGGGGTGGGGAACTGTCTGAACCGGGGATGGGGCCAACATACAGGCCCAGCGTTCCCCTTCCCTGGGCCCTAAAACTCTGCCCATCAAGATGGGGCCACAGCGTGGCCCCAGGAGCATGTGGAGGCAGCCAGTTAGGGTGTTTGGTCTCTAGTTTCTGTCTCCACTTGGGTCCTCGCCTCCGCCTTGTCCCTGACAGTCCCAAGTCCCTGGATGTGGGTTGGGAGCGGGTCTCCCCGCGCGCCCTCTGCCGGACGACGAGGAAGGCACAGCTTGAGTGTGCTCTCCGAGCGCGGACCTGCCCGAGAGACGCCAGTCCCGGAGCAAAGCAAAGTCGCCGTCGCGGCACCCCGTATTATTATTTCATGTTTATTGAGCATCCTGGAGGGCGGGCGCCAGGCCGGTTGACCGCAGGCTGCGAGTAGGGTCCTCATCCTCTCGGGCTTGGGACCAGGCCGCTGTCCTCAGGTGCCACTCGCTGCCACGCGCTGCAGGGACTGCCGCCTGGAGGACAGGGAGGAACCTGGCCCAAAAGTTGCGCCCGTGGAGTTTCCGTCCCACCTCCGCTGCTTGCCCGGCAGGCCAAGGAACCCTGCATCCTTGGCTCTGCGCGTCTGCCCGGGAAACAGAGACCATAGTGCTTGCCCAAGGTCACACAGCGAGAAAGGGCAGAATAGGAGTTAAAAATCAGATCTCCTCCACTCCAGACTGCTCGGTAACATTCACATGGCCGCTGACTCGCTGTGTGACTTGGGGCTAGCGATTGTATCTCTCTGAGCCTTAGTTTCCTCATCAGTCAAGCCAGGTTGAAAAATAAGAACTGTCCACCCCCAGGGCTGTGGTGAGGCTGATATGTTTGACGTAGGCGCTGGGCAGCCAGGAGCTGGCGTTCTGAGAAAATGCTTCCTCAAATGACATCAGCAGAAAGGGGGCGTCCCCCAAACCGCAAACCCGGATGGCGGGGAG